TATTGTTCTATATTTATTTTATATATGGCATTTTTTCCTAGAGCCTCTGGGAAGCCCTGCTTTCTGCACATTTCAGACTGATTCTGTTGCAAAAGGAGGTGAAATTTTCACATAACATGGAGCACTGATTTGGTAGTGGTAAATGGCATTCATAATGAGAGGCAGTTCTTCAAAATGGCTTAAATTTTCCCCACCCCACAAAGGAGGCTTCTTCTGATCCCACTACACTTTGTATACATTCTCTGCATATGCTGGGAAAACAAAAGAGATATCCAGAACATTTAAACTGTGGGGAATGGAATAAGGGCCAGCTAAGCATATACACCACAGAACTCCCCTTGAAAGTGTAATATTTAACACTTGTGAAAATATTAAATGTGACAAAGATCATAATCCCTTGCCATTTTATTAATGGCATGGACAGATTTTTGTAACTCACACATCCCACTCTGGTAGCAAAAGGATGTACTCCTGCTCCAGTGACCACTCTGCTGAGCATGTTTAAATGCGGTACAGACCTACAGATACTGCTGGATTTATAATAGTCAAACCTTTGCAAAGCTATCACACGGGTGTCATCTGCACTATTGCATAACTCTATCCATACCAGATAACATGAATTTGTAATTTTAATAATAAAATTCACTGAAATTATATAGATGGCAGTGTTACAAACCCCACAATGAATCCAAGCAACAGCAAGTGCAGAAATACAATGAATTCATAATGCCATGATTTTTAATCAATCCAACATTTATCCACAGATAATTTTCTCATATTTAACCCCACACTGATACTCATTTTAAAAGCTTAATCTAGAATGAAGAAAAAAAAGGCATAAAAAAAGCCCTGAAAGATAGATATAAAATACTGCAATAACAGAGACTATTGTGCATACATCCAAGAAACACAACCTAAATTATGAGGCTGTAGTAAAGATGGTAGCACCTTGTACAACTGACTTCGTCAAGGAAATCAGCAACAATTAAACATTTCAATTATGCCCAAACCTGCAGTGGAACTGGCACACATTGGTTTTGGAAGGAGCTAAAGTAACTCCAGTTACACCATATCCTTAAACTCCAAACCATGATGAGAAAATTCATTACTTTAACCTTTGAGTTAGAACAAGAAGCAGAAAGTTGGCAAAGAAGCCTCACAGCCTGATTCCATCATGTAGTAAAAGTTACCTTCCCAATACTTCATTAGGTCCTCATGAAGGACCTATGTCAGATTCCACATGACAAAGGAGAATTTTATATTTTCCATAAATTACCATATTTTTATAACATGAAAAGCTATCTCATGGCTTCCTTACACTGACACATTCTATCAACACAAAATTAACTAAACCCAGAGAGAAAGATTAATCATGTTCCAAAGGACCACAGGCTAATCCTTCATGGACACGAGGGAAAATTCTCATATATAATTGTCCAGTACAAAAAGAATATTCAAAAGACCAATATCCTTCCCTAAAACCAGATGGAGGCTTAACTACCACAACAGTAGCTCTACTGATCAGTTTCATCAGTAAAATTAAACCCCAAAAAGGAAGTTTAGCTGAATAACAAAAACCTCAGTATTTTCTTTCATTGTGTTGGAGATGTGGCATGCCTTGCTGTTTAAAAACAGTATTTTATCAGTACAGACATCCAGATTTCAGGAAAACAAAAACAGCACAACATTTTTGAACTGATAGGAGCTTGCATACTTAATGTTGTGTATTGTTTGTCAGTTACTTCAACTGAAAATTAAAAATGTAATTTTGTTAACTTAAGGCCATATAAGTACAAATGCTTACTTCATCCTAAAAAAACAAAGCAGCACATATACTTAAGACATTCTAAAACAAATACAATCCAGTGCTTATTACCATAGCTTGAAATTTGTTATTATGAGGGAAAAGAATGCATAAGGAAAAATGGGAAAAGAATTCTAGGACTGAAAACTGCATCTTAAAAAAATGTAATGTCATGGGTCTGAAATTTTGGATTTTATTCTTCAGTTCCCAAGCCCACACATCATGCAGTTGCACTTTCAGGCATTAATTACTATTTTTCAGCATACACATTTCAGATTTGCACTAGACCTTAGATACATGAGAACAAATTCTGGGAAACTTTGCTTGAATTCCCACATCCACCACAGACAATAAAGAAAGGAATTTCTTTCAAATTAGAATAGCAACCTTAGCAAAAACCCAAAGTATTATTAAATTCTATGACTGACAAAACTATAATGAAAACTGGCTTGCAATCTTAGAAAGAGCCTTTGTCTTTGTAGAAAGAATAATTAATAATTGTTTTTCAAAATGAGACTATTATAAAAGTTCTCACTTATGCCTGTTAAAATATAGTGAGGGTTAATTTGCTCTTAATTATTATGCATATGGCTTGTTTTTCAATGAAGAAATATAAAGCTACCCCTTAAAATTTCTATCAACCTTCACCTTTTACATCCCTTAGAGTTTCACTCAGGGTATTATTACTCTCATGGCACCCAACCTCTAGCTATGCCTATTCCTCATAAGGCAAGGAATGTGACTTCCCTGTGAGCCAATAAAATCAGTGGGATGGTTATTTGGGCAATTCTGCTGGCACTTCCCACAGGACAGCATGGAAGTTGATATGCAAAGACTACCCAGGAGTGTGGAGGAAGATTCAAACCTCTATCTTGTAACATGGGAGTCCCACAGACCCCTGTAACACATTGCTGGAAGCCACTGAGTCAACTAATTAAAGACAATTTTATAGCCAGACAATTTGTATCTGTAGTCTGCAATAGCATGGAATAGCCTAAAGAGCAATGGCTCTCTAGCTTTTAAAAAAATCTTTTATTGTCATATATCTGTAAATTCAATTCTTGTGTTTACATGGATATGCTGTGACAAAGCTTTTGAATAACATTTATATTGATCAGCAGTATTTTTTGAAAGTAAGAGAGGGAAACTACACTGAAAGCATTAGTGCAGCAAGACTTAAGAAATTATTAGAAGATAACCTAAAAGAGGAATAGTAAATGATAAAAGAGACCCAGTGGATTTTACCTAATACCATGATAACAAACCGCCCCCTGGATCTAAATCAGTTTTTCCATTCTCCTTAATTCAGCTTTGAGAAGTATATTACCATATTTCTATAACAAACCTTTCTGAAATATGCCATTTTGTAGATTATTTCATTAGTAATACTCTCAATATCTGATGAAACAACATATCATGACTAGCTGTTAGAACCAGACATGGATTTTCTGATATATCATTCTCCAGATGGAAAATGGTTTTCTGTGAAAAAGAAAGTACTCATAGGAATACTCTGATTTGATTTGAAATGAAAAAAGATTTAGGTTCAGATAAAAATATTCTGATCAAGCATTTGCAGACTAAACAGCAGGTTTTTTAATAATAAATGATAAAAGGCTTATTTTACGATCTATAAAATTTAAAGTAAATTTTTTTAGAGTATATTCTTCTATTTTAAGTTTCCAGAATTGTGAAAGGAGATGTTGTTCCATTAGATGAATTTCCATATGTCCTTTTATATAGCTGAGAAATTCTCATTTAATTTTAGAAGAAACATTGCTGAGCTTGGTGCAATTCCAAGATACGATGCTAAAGAAATATCAATTTATTACTGTCTTATTTTCCAGTGTCATGCAACGGTCAAATATGCCACAGAAAATTTGGAAAAACTATTGAGATATAAGAGGGTTTTTAACAGAAGTCTAGTGTTAATTAATAGAGTTAGGAAGTTAGGATATCGCACTATTTCAAAGGAAAAAGGAAGTCAGCACATTGTATATTTGTTAAAGCTTTGCAATTTGTTGATATTATTGATATTACATTGAAATATGCTGATATTTAATATGTTTATAAAAATATAAGTCTGTATCCACCTCAATTTCAAATTTTCAAAAATACATTATCATGCATTAGCAAATACTAATGAGGACAAATGCTAACATTTCAAAAGAGTTTTGGTCATTCAAATTGTCTTGCTCCATCTCCAAAATCCACAGTAATCACTTTTACAGTTCCTTTAATTGAAAGTACAATAATCACATTAGCAGCAGAAAATAAGCACAAGCAGGCTTGTTTCAAGGTTAAGAAAACAAGGCACAACATAATCATTCTGAACGTGATCCAACCCTCATTAGGAATTGTTATGTCAAAGAATTCTTATCTGTGTGTTTAATACAGCACATATCAGCACTGAAGCAAGTGGCAATATGATAGTTTGGGGACTGCGCTGTCTCTGTAGAACAGGAGCTAATGAGATGCTGTGAGAGCACTTACAGAGAGCACAGTGATAAAATAGGCCTGTAAGGTATGACTTCCTCATTACACCCCGAGATTGCACCACATTCAGTGGCATGGCTGCTAGTAAATCAAAAGTCACACCTTGTATTTACTTGAGACATTTGCTACCTTCATGTGTCACTGTTCTATCACTCAGCAATCCCCTCTCCTGTGGGCAGGCGGGGTCTAGGAGGACTGCAAATCAGGAACTCACTGTTCCAGCCAAATCACACATGATGTGTGCTCCTGCAAGAACCAGACACACAGATGCTTCAGCTGCACATCCCTGTCAGTCCTGATCAAGAACAGGTGATTTCCACCCCTCAGTACACCACAAGAGTCACCTCACAACTTTTCTTTCTCTCTCTGTATCTGTGCTGAAGCCCCTAGTTTTTAATGAAGATTCTTCCCCTATCAGACCATTCTTCAACTCTGTTTCCCTTCATGATGCCAACAGCAAGCATCCCTAGTTTGTAACCAAGTATCTCACCTAATTTAGGGTCAGTTTGTCTCATGGCAAGAGATTGTTTTATTTCCTTTAGGTGTTTAACAGTCCCATCTATTCTCCAGGAGAGAGGGAGCTTCTTGCTTGAACAAAGATGTAACTTCCTATATCTTTCCTGTCAAGCTAATTCCAACCTTCTTTCCATGGCAAAAAGTCATTCCATCTTTTTGTTCTTGCTTACTAGCTTTTACTCACCCTCACAAAACCTGTGAGTAACCACAAAAAGGCCATTTTAGTGGACCTTTTCATAGACCTCAGACTGGGATTTTCCATCTCGTTGGTCTTTCCATTTATTACTTCATCATTCTCTTCTGCATAAGGTGTAATGGCTCATCCCTGTCCATCTTAAAAATGAGATAATGAGAATGACTTGTAATTCTGACCTCCAAACTGCACTGCTCTATTTGTACTGTCACATACATCTGCATTTCTCCTTAAGCAGAAGGAACTATAACCTAACTTTACATTTTCAGTTTAGAGCTTGTTTTCCTGCTTAAATCTCTTCCTGAATCAACCTAAGCATTTGACAATGCTTTTCCCAGACTAGGAGATGCAACTTACATTGAGTTCCTCGAGGTTTTGTTTTCACCTTAGCCCCAAGTACATCCAGCATTACCATAAACATGCACAGCCTATAGAGGGAACATCCAATTTTACTTTCTGTAGTTCAATATACTTGGGAACAAGAAAACAATAGTATTCCATTGTTTTCAACTATCAAGACAGGCAGTTCTCATTTAGTATAAAATCTCACTAGAATTTCTAGAAACCCCCAGAACTCCTGAAATGCTTCCTTTAATCTGTACTCCAGAAGTTGATGTGCGGGTTTTTTCATATCTTTCTATCCTTGGGCAGAAATTCTCTGCATGTTTTTTATTCCTGCTTTAACCTTTCTCACATTCTGCCATTTTATCTTGGAGATTATTAAATACCATCTGAACATTTTGCTGTTTAAACATCACACCATCCATTTTTTTATTTGAAAGAGAAGAAAACACAAGGAAATAATCAAAATATTCTGATGTGCTGTTTTTTAGTCTTTGCTTACAAGTTTCATTTTTAATTTTGTTATAGATAAGGGTGTTTTCTCCCAAGTAATGATACCCTAAAAAAAAAAAGAAGTTATATGACAGCTTATCAGGAATGTTTAGACCACCTAAGACATTCTTCCTATCAATCCTTATCCAATGACTCTTTTGAGATACATAACTACCACAGTCTTGAAAACATTTTTAGAGAATGGACTGGCTCACCACGTTAAATATTTGCTTAAATAATAATATTCTGAGACACAGAATTAGCCCATGACCAATGCTGTATCAAGTAACCACAGTTTCATTATTTATTGGAGCTTCACATCATACGTGCAGTATTCTGGTTTTGTCTCTGTCCATACCTAGTATGGTTGCTCTAACCTGTACAGAATAAATATGTAAAGTTAAGCAATTTTCAGATGTTTTCACTGGGTACTGACATGCTGATCTCTCAGGTTCTGTATTTCTGTTACTTATAGACAGAAACATATTAAAAAAAAGGGGGGGAGGGGGAAAGCTTTTCTAAGTGATTTTCTGCAAGACAACCTAAACTAAAGCCTAGGAGGTAATGTAACTGGTGGCTGCATAATAAAGACTGCATCACAACGTACAAACAAAAAAAGGAAATTCAGGAGAAAAGTTTAAACCTACTTTTTCTAATGTTAAGGCATGGTTATGTAAATTCAATATTATATTAACACTAAAATTAACCATGTTTTTAACTTTAAAACAAATGAACAGTCGGAGAAAGTGAAGAATCTGTCATGTAACAATGAAGGTGACCACTCAGGAGCCATTTACACCATCAAGAAAGAAATAGCTGGGACCAATAATAAGCTGTTATCCTTCTAAGTGATTAGCTAATAATTGACAGAACAGGTGTATTTAGGAGTTTTGGAACCCAGTTCTAAATTCTGGAGGTCACAAGTCTCTTACTGAGACTCTTCAGAAAAACACATCTGGATCTAAAGAGGGGCTTGGGGAGCCATCAGAAATTACCTGGAGTTCTTTTCACTAAAACACCCTTCCAGCCTCCCTAATCTCCAATACACCCCCATATCTTGTTTCCTGCTGTATTTCCTTTCCTTATGGAATAAATACATACAGCAACTGATGATAAATGTGGGGGTCAATGCAAGCAAATATGCTCCTCACGCAAACCTTGAATTCACAGGATCTGCTTACTTTTCTTCTAATTTAATTAGCACCAAACTTCACTGAGATAAGGATAATTGAATGAATAATTTTGTCTTCATTCTTAACTTCAGATATGAAGATGTTTTTCTCTTTCTAAAATGCAAAAACAATTTTTCAGAAATTATGACAGTTTCTAGATGGGATACCTGTGGTTTGTAATTTCCTTTGGGTAGAATGTTAGGCTATATTTTGTAGTAGAGTTCAGTTCAGTAGTAAATTTTATTGTGGAAAAGTATTTCCTTAAAAAAACTGTTGTTTTGAAACCATCGTGTCAGTGTTTCTATTTCACTCTAGTGGCTATTATTTTGTCTTTTTATTGCATTAATAGTAAGTAATAATAAGTCATGGAAGTTTTATTCAGAGAAAGATGCTAGGGAGTACCCGCTAAGGGATAACAGACTGAAAGCAGTAGGGACTCATTTATTTCAAATTTCTCTACCAGTTCAAGATGCCAAAAAAATGGAAATAAAAGCCAAGAGTAAATGTAAAAACGGGTGTTCCATTATTCCCAGGTTTTCTAAAAAGTCAGTCAGATTTTATGAAAAGAAGAAAGATCTTTTCAAATAAATAAGAATATTTGATATTGAGCTATTGGAGTAACACAAAATGTAACAGGAATAACTACTAGAGTAGACCATGTTAATTTAGGTTGATGAAATGCCATCTGATACGGCCTATAACTGAAAATATTAATAGAAGAATAATAAAACAGATTAGTCTGAAAGAAATGTTTATCTGAATGTTGTCATAATTAATCTTCACTAATGAAAAACAGTAAGCAATGAAAAAGCACCAGCAACACCAAACTCTTCCTCTCCTTTTCCCCTTATGCACAGAGTCTGTTCTGTCAGTTAGAAGACAGAACCATGCTGCCACTTTCCAGCAGGTCACACAATGGAGAAATTCCTGTGTGCTGTGCCTTCTGCATTGAGAAAATGACAAAAAGTAACACTAGCCATTGGGATGTACAAGGTGGATGGCAGAGGTGGGGCTTGGGGAATTCTTTGACTATAGGCCTCTTCCTGCTAGGTAGGATCTCTAAAAGCAGGTTCTTGGGAAAAATGCTGGTTTGTTTATCATCTATTTCAAGTCTAGAAGTTGCAGAATTTGCAAGAAAATTTTTCTGTGAAAGAGAGATGAACTTGTTTACTACATTGAAGCAGCGAATTGCTGGAATGAACTTTCAGTTCCACTTTATGTTGACATTATCCATTTCTTTGCTGAGTCTGAATGTAACATGTCACTGATATGAAACCACTGACTACTGGCTAAAAAACTGTGAAAAATGAGGAATTTTTCCAGTCATGGAAATATGACTTCACTTCTTTAAGTTCTCTAAATTCCATTGCACATTGGGTCCCTCTGAATCATTGTGTTTGAACCAAGAGCTGGGAAAAAACATATTCTATCCCACATATTAATCTAAAAAATGTACATAGATTTCTTCTTTTTCCCAAGTCAAGAATTTAATGGAATAATTTCTCAAAGATCTTTCAACATCAACAGTGCATAAATGAAGGAGATCATAGAAAGAGAGCTGTAGTATAATGATGTAAGAATGACTTTTTCACTACTTAGTCGTCCTGTACAATTCAACCATCTGAGCTGCTTTCTTTTGACATTGCACAGCAGGCTCACCTTTATCCTTGAAGAGCAAGCCTGCTGTGCAATCAGCATATACAGCCCTCCAAGGCTTGCATGGCCTAGAAGGCAGCCTGCATTACCCGTCGGATAGAGCCCTCCGAGACTATTTTCAGCCATCATCAGTCACAGTAAGTTCAGGTCCACATTTCTTAAGCCAAGGAAAACACAAAAAGATGCACTGAATCCTCCATTAGTTAAGGATGCAACTGACCATGAGTACTATGAGAATTCTGAAAGCAATTTCGATGACCAAAATTCAGTTTGGTAGACTGACAATTTCTCATTAATAACTTCAACAGATGTGTTTAAATTACAAACAGTGATCACGCAAAAAATACTCTCAAATTATTGATGAAAAGTACATCTTTTCTAGAAATAATACTGTAAAATAACCATCTTTCACAATAAAGTAAAATTACTAATTCACTTTTATTAATGTCATTCGTTTTCCTTTAAAATTCATGCAATAGATAGGTCTTACTTCAAATCAATTAAGATTTTTCTGTATTGTCTATCTGTTTTTGTTTCATATTCCATAAATAATTTAGGTTTTTACATTAATTCTTTAGGTTTTCCATAGTGTGATAGTTTTTAGCAATTCAGCCAAGAATTTAAAAAATAACCAACCAACCAACCAACCAACCAACCACCGCCATCACCAGCAACAAATTCCATACCATGTAAATTAGGCAAGACTAGATTTCCAAGTACTGTGTTTTAAGCACATGCATATATGTGTAAAAATTCATGACAATATATACTCAAAGAAAGGCAAAATTGTTCAGAGAAGTCATTTAAAGCACTCAGTGCAACTGGCAAAATTGCAGTTATGTAAGAGAATAGCTTCACAAATCTAGTTAGGGTTCTCCAGCTTGTCACACAGTTCTTGTAGTATATATGCAAATATTTTATTGTGACACCTGTATTTTTCAAATTGCCTATGTTATATGTGGATTTATGCATATTTGTAGGCCACTATTTTCAAAAAATACATGTCCCTTATACTTTTTTCCCTTGATATAAAATCTTTGCAATTAAACTCTGGCTTGAACAGCAAAATCTTTGTTAATGACAGTAAAAAGTAACAATATTTGCATGTGATCCAAGTGTGGAACTATTTATTTCAGTGTGTGCAGAGTCAGTGTCTAGCTTTCAATTGCAGACTACTTAAGTGCTTACAAAATAAAATGCTGTCTTACACTGATACCTAAACCACTTGGCTTTTAGGAAAAATCAGTATTTTGTTGCCATTGCCCAGAGCATTTTTCATTTAGTTGCCTAAACAGAGAGTTGCCTTCTTTCAGATGTCAAGTTTTCATAACATTTTTGTCTGTACTCCACAGACAGTGGAGGATTAAAGCACAGAGAATGATTCCTTTCCTCAGCTGCAACTTGAAGTGATGCTGACATTAAGCTGCTGAAAACCTTTAAATTATAAAGTGTTTTCACTAAACTTCCTGCTCTATGGAAGAGAGGTTAAATTGCACTGTCTTTCTTGTACCAAATGTGACAGATGGTCACAGGACCCAAAAATGTGAGCATTCACAACACAAGAAAACACTGCTTTCAAGAGCAAGAGTATCTGGCAAACAAAGCTGCAGCTTCCCCACAATGAACAAGGTAAACATAAAGCACTGTAGCAGTTCAGCAGTAATAAACAGGTGGGAGTCTTCTATTTGGGTGATACTTGTAAAGTGGTCTTGCTGCATTAGATTTTGTAACCCAGACTAATGGGCTGTAAGCAGCTATCTAAATGGGTTAAATTAAGAGGGAGGAAAATACCTTTTGATTATCCTTATATATACACATAAATACACATATAAGTTAAGTGCACATATGTAAAAATACCAGATTTCAAGACCTCATCATAGGCAAAGACTACTTCATAGTATTTCAAAATCAGTGTTTTTAAAATTTCTTCTTTAGTCACAGTCCCATTTTTTTGGAGCAGTAGTATCATGCATTGTCTAAGGATATTTTTCCTTATGAAAGTTATACTTAAAAGGTAGCTATAAAAAATAGCTAGGAATCAAAACTTTTGTAACAGATGTTAGCAGAGATATATGAAGTTGTGCAAGGATATCAGATTTTTAAGACCTTCAGACTTTGTAAATGTGTAATAAGTATCTGTATGAGATTAGATGAAAAGGTCAGATTTCTTGCAGAAACATAGAATCATGGGAAAGAAAATTAAGGGATAATAATTGATGTAAATTCCTATGCAAATGAACTGCCAATAGGGAGTCTCAGGGTTTTTTTTCCTCAGGAAAAGTTTTAGGCTCAGTACCAGGAGAGCCTGATGCAAGGTGATGCCCTGTCATATATGGAATTTCTGTATGATCTGTCCTGGCCTTAAACTTTGCAAACCTGAGATGATTCATATATCGTGTCCAGATATGAACATGCACACAAACATGACATGCCATGTTTTGTACCAAAGACTCAGGTTCATGTTTGAGCTCTGTTGGAACAAAACTGCCAATGAAATAGAATTTAGCATCTTTGACTTCCTGTGCTTTTCTCAGGACTTTTTAACCAGGGCAAGCAAAACCTGAAAATGTTGGCTTCTGAAGATATAGAATGCTAGCCATTGAGTCAGTGCAACCTGGTACCTATTACAGAAGAGAGTATTCACCTTCAGCTTTTGGAATAAACAAACAAGAATGGTGAGGTACTCTAGATTCTGTGATCCAAATATCAATTGACTGAATATCTGCACTTAATGGCTTGCTGTAGTGGATAACAGTCCACTGTCCTGCCTAAGCACAACAAGTCCCTTGGCACTTGGTGATTCAGCTGTTCAACACATGCACAATATTCTTCATTCCTGCTAGTTGCTGGACAAGACCACTTGTGTTTTATGAGGTAGAATTAATATGCTGTTAACAAGGTATTTAGCTTTTTGACATTTAAATGTCAGCTGACCAAACTAAGTCCCTCCAAATTCAATGGTATGATGCAGTAGCCTCCTCCTTGTGATTCAGCTTGACTTAAAATAGCCAGACTATGAAGCACCGGGTGAATAGCTCAATTGAAAGCTGGAGAGTCTATATTGCACCTGTAAGGAAAATCCTATAAAATCATAGCCATTCCTTCCATAACATCATGTAAGCTACACACTGGCTTTAACAAGACAATGTCTTAATCACATAAGAGCAATAATATCTCTGAATACAACTTCAAAAAACTTCTTCTGAAAAACCAAAGAGCCTGATTAGAGGAATCATATAATATAATCCTGCACAACCAGTGGTAAGAGTTATTGTTAAAAAAAGACAGCCCCTTTTATAAAACTTTAATTTCTACAATCAAGGAATTGTGTCAGGCTCTAGAAATGCAATGTTTAAGGTATCCAAGTGCTGTTACCAGTTCAGAGCTCTACAAATCTCATAAAATAGGCATTGTACATTGCTTTATTCTACTTAACAGTCCTGTGTTCCTCCACAACACAAACTCAAATATTACTCAAGTAAATAATGGACGCAGTTATTTAGAGTTACTAGGAGAGGCAGCATTAAAAACAATCATAAAAAAAAACAGTATAGGAAATAAATGCCCTGAAAAACATTGTAAAATTACTGCTTATCTGCATGCTGATTCATCAGTCATTCCCACATGTTCTAAGATCTCCTGGTAAACCTGCAGTTTGGTAGAGCATCACCTTTAACAGAGAGGGATATATAAACTTCCTCTTCCCTGTCAAATTTAGAAACCTGTGTGCATCAATGAACTTCCCCATGCTTAATTTAAGATTCTGTAATATGTAAGAAGTCTTGGAATTTTCCCATAGAAATTACAGGATTCCTAAAAGCTATTCTGAACAACATGAAAGCTTTTATTGTTTTATATTTGTATGTACATGATTCATCTTTGATGCTGTAATATCTAACAAGTTTATACAAGATGGAAATAAAAGAGTAATAAAAATTAACAGAATCTTAGGAAAAAAATGGTTGTTTCTTCTAATAACATGTTTATACAAAGCACAATGTTCAGTAATGAAATTCAGTAATTCACTTTCGTGGTTTATAGTTTAGCAAGGGATACAGCAGATACGAGCCATCATTTACAAGAAGATGCCATCTGCTGAGCAAACACACAATCAGCAGGCACTTCCTATTACACTGGAATCTTTTCTGTCCTTTATTGATTTTCTCCCTTGCATTTCTAAAGCCCCTCAAGCAATCTGAGCCAGTGCAGCAAATGAAGAAAGCAAAGGACTTCTCAATGACCCCAATATCAATTCTGCTTTGTGCTTCATGCTGTCTCAAGGCTATGGACCTCATAGGTTAGTTCAAAAGAGAGAGAAAATAGTACATAAAGTGTGTGTATGTATATAGTTCCAAGGGAACTCTGCAGAAATGACAGCCTAACCTATGAGATTAAACACACTTCAAAAAAGCTTTACAACATTAAGCATACTTCAATGCAAGCATTTAATTATATACCCCTACACCATTTAATTGTTGCTTCATAATACTTCTCTTTTTTTTGTTCCACTTATTCAGTTTGCTTCCGCTCTTTATCTACTTCATGTACACTCTGATGCAAATAGGAGACCTTCTGAAAAATGTAAGCATAAATAGATGCGATAGTATTCAAAAGTTATTGTCCTACATCTATAGATGTCAGAAAAAAGCATTAGTCATTAAATACTTTCACAGTTACCATTCCTAAGCCACTTTTGGTTTTCCCTTCCATATTTATTTTCGCATCATGTAGGTTTATATACTGTATGCTTTGAATGGTACAGTCCATTTTAAAATAGAAAATACCTCTGCTGCTTCATAAAACATTTTTCATCTTGCAGAAAAACAAATTAAATAAAGTTCTTTAGTGAAAATAAATATTTGAAAGAGCTTCCATGGAGCAAAATAGAAGTTTTTTAATTGTTATTACTACCTCATGCAAAATACACCTAAGGACAGCTAACAAGAAGAGGAAGGGAAAAAACTAATATATTACAATATCTCCTGTTTCTCTTTTTCATTAATCCAGTTTATTATTAATTGGCATCTCAAGAAAAACAGTTCTTGTCTATTGTGTAATTTCATTTGCATCATTAACATGAGCACCAAATATTAAATGGAAGAAACTATGATTAATACATGTAGTAAAGAAAATTTTGCATTAATAAATATGCTTAAATGAATTGCATAATATTTATACCATTCAAAGTTTAAAATTCCTTGTAGAAATATAAAAAATATTAAAATAGGTATTCATATTTCCATTCTGAAAAGCTTTATACAAGGAGAAAGTTCTCCCTGGAAATTACCACTATCTTTTGGATATCATTTGCATACAAATCTGCTTGTGCAAACTCTCTCCAAGCTTTTAACACAGAATCAAATACACAGGTGTAGACCATGATGTATAACTCTTACCACACCTCTCTAGGTTTCCACAAAACTAATGATGTGATCTTTGTCACATTGTTTCTACTTAGTTTCAGCTGGGGAAGGGCTAACAACATTAGTCACTGCCATTAATGCCTTGTTTTGAAAATACTATTAGGTATTAGAAGAATCTTCTTTTTTTTTAATTTTTCAGTTTGACTTATTAAGTCTGCATTAAAAATAAACTACCATATAATCCATTATGTGAACTCAAACCATTCAACATCCCCCATCTCTCATCCAAAAGTGGGGAAGTATTGCTGCATGCAGATTATGCCAAGAGCCCTTCAAATAGAGTAACACTAAAAACCTGAAGATGATATTCCATGACGAGCTGTGTACTAGCAGCTGGATCACAGAACTATGAACCTACAGACTGATTCTGAAAAAAACCACCCTCCCTGCTGATACAATAGAAATTGTTGTGTCTGGGCTTTGAGAAAAAATAAAAAAAATACTGTATCTAAACTTAATAAGCTCAATAGATGCTGATACTTCAATGTTCTCTAACAAGTACATGGCTCACAGAAAACTCCTTGTCTTAATTAATAGCTAGTTTTTCTACTCTGCTTCACTTATGACATAAGACTGAAAACAAATTAAATTTTTCCCACATTTCCTGTTGCTTTCAGAGCCAATTCACAAAAGAAGAAAAGGAACAAGCACCTGCCTAAGAAAAAGACATTCCAAAAGTCTAAAGATCAGAGTCTAAAGTGTTGAATTTTTAACAATGACAGAAAAAATGCCAGTGACTGGTCTGGACTCTACTACTTTTACTTCGTGGCTGTCTTGAAATGTATCTTCATCTCTAAATCAGCTACTTGTCTCTTAGTCTCTTCAATGCTCCTCCTATCTTCATAGATTCATCGAATGTTAATGGACCTTAAGGATCACCTAGTCCCAATTTTCTATTTTCAAAATATAGTGGTTGGTGGTAAACATATCCATTTTGTGTTTTAAACCATGGTCTACAAACATAGTTATGCTTACTGCGAGTCTTCCAAGCAGGAAGGACAACATAATTTCTGAATTCCTATAGAATGTCACAATATTAGGTAAAGGTACAGATGTGACAATTTGGTTAGCAGATGGAATGGACAAGCTTCCCAGAAAATCACTAACATTTCTTGGTCTCTGCTGCATTATAAGTTCCCCTTTGACTGTCTCAGAAAAGAGTTTTATCTAAACCACTCTGCACTTTGACCACCACTAGTAAACGATAGCTTTTGTACTTTCCACAGCCTTTGACATCATTATTAAATTTAGTTCTAATAGGAAGAAAAAGCCTCTTGACAGCAAGGATATGAATGTTGTCTAACACAGAGAAAGAAGGCTTTGGAAGAAAAATAGGAGAAAAAGGCTTAGTTGAAAAAGATCTTAAAAACCACCCTAAAAGAAGTACAACATGCATCTCAAGGAGCCTTTATCATGACAAAACATGAACTACAATAAAAAAAAAAAATCTTGAGAACAAAATTTAATTCTGATTAGGAAAGTGTTCTCTTGCTTTTGTCTATAAAAGGAAAAACAATGGGCAGAAAATGCCACTTAAGGATCTAGCTCAATAATCCAGTGAAGACAAAGGAGCCTTTTAGTTTCAATGAGTAATCCAAAAGAATGAGTATTGAACAAAAAAGGGAGGAAGATATTTGGAATCAAACCTATCATGTTGTGTCAGTCAGGCTTAGAAATGTTCCTTTCAGCCTTCTCTAAAGCAAAGCCTGAGAATCAGAGGGTTGTGCATCAATCACAAATACGTGTGATGGAGACTTTCTGCATCACACAGCTTAGAAGAAGAACATTCAACACTTTCTGCTAATGTCTTGGACAAGCAGGAATTTCAGGATCTCTCTAAGGCTTATCTTTCTATAAATGGGACATGTAGATATCAGGTTCTAGTCTGAGTTCTTGCACAGTTCAAAGTCACAGAATGGAAGGGAACACGTTTTGTAACGAAAGCAAATGGAGATTGTCACAGTTCAGAAGAAAATAAAAAAGGTTCAGGCTTCTCTCCAAAAATGGGGAGAATAAAAATCTTAGAAGGACTTCTGGTCATCACAGTAAATCCAACATTCTTTTCTAATGCAAAATAGCTTTTGACAGCTCTCAGAGTAAATCTCTCCTATTTGAGACCACTGCAAAAGGATCCAAATGGGGGTCTAACTCAAGGACTTGTAGTAAAAGACTGAAATGCCTCCTTCCAGTTTTGTCTTGCTCTTCTGATCCCATAAGATGTTGGAATCCATCAGAACACTCACAGAATGGCTGTGTTCATTTCAGGATGAGCAGGAAGGAACAATGGAGCCAAAAAATCCTTTATTACATAATGTTAAGTGTGGGAGAATTAATAGTAAATATATTTCTTCCAGAGGAATTATAGGTCTCCTTTATAGGAAGAAAGAGCTGACAAATCTCAATGGCACCCCCCTACCAACTGTGAGAAGTCTCTCAGGATGTCTTTCTTACACACTGGTGTGCTAACAATGCATCAGCGGAGATCTTTTCCAGCCATTAGAGAGAGTTTGGATGAGAAGAATGTATTTAATTTTACGGTTTATCTGGTATCAAATTTTATATAAGAAAAAGGGCATGCTTTTACTTTGTGCAAGGGTTCTGTATGCAGCCAGTGTTGGCTTAAGGTCTGAACAGTCACTGTCATTGCATCCTCCTCATCTTCCTCTTAGGAAATGCATAAAAATAGCAGCTGGAAATTATTGCCTGCCCACAGCTTGTTACTGGGCAGTCATCACTGATAACACCGTCAGTTCAGCAGCTGATGATTTTTCCAAGTGTTGGGTTTGCATGGTAAGCTTCTGGCAACAATGGGGCTGCAGAATCACAGAATGAACTGAGAATATAGGAGAACAACAGCTTGGTAAACATCAAGGTCAATGGAAAAGGAGGTGGAGAAGGTAGTCCAGGTGATGGAGCAGACATTCCCCTACAGCCCATGGAGGTTCATGTTGGAGCAGATATACATCCACAGCCTGTGGAGAGCCCCATGTTGGAGCAGGCGGATGCCTGAGAGGAAGCTGTGAACCTGTGGGAACCCTGCACTGGAACAGACTGCATGAAGGACCCGTGGAACTGTGAAGAAAGGAGCCCACAACAGACCAGGTTTGCTGGCAGGACTCTAATTCTGTGAAGAACCCATCCTGGAGCAGTCTGCTCCAGAAGGACTACACCCTGTGGAAAGGACCCATGCTGGAACACTTTGTGAGGAGCTGAAAGCCATGGTAAAGATTCATGCAGGATGATTTCATGGGCAACTGACTAATTGTCTCCTGTGGAACACTGTCACACTGTCTACACTGGAACAGGAGAGGAGTGAGGAGTCCTCCCACTGAGGAGGAAGTAGCATCAGAGACATCAGAGACAACATGTGATGAACTGACTGACCACAGTTTATCTCCTATTCCGCATCCTGTATCACTCCTGTATCACTCTGGGGAAGGAGGTAGAGAAAACTGTAAGTCAATCAGATGCCCAGGAAGAAGGAAGGGATGGGAAGAAGGTGTTTTTAAGATTTATTTTACTTCTCCATGTCCTGTTAGGGATTATGTTGTAAATAAATTCAGCTGATATCTCCTTGTTCAGTCTGTTTTGCCTGTGATGGTGTTCAGTGAGGGTTCTCTCCCAGCCCTTATCTCAACTCATGAACCCATTGCTATATTTTCTCTCCCCTGTCCAACTGAGAAGGGAATTGAGGAGCCTGGTGGGCACTTGGCATGAAGCCAGGGTGAACACACTACACTTGCAAAGACAGCTTATAGAACAACAAAACCCAAAAAGTAACGCAGTGATCATAATAAAATTTAAAAATAAAAGAAAAAAAGAAGAGGTTTTATAACAATTATTGTTTAATTAATTATATTTAATTAAAGTTTATTAAAAACTTATGGTCCAACGTCTAAAAATAAAATTCTTGCAAGCCAAAGAGAGATTACTTAGAGATACAATATTGGAGGCTTAAAGGACATGTGAGCCTAGCATTGGCAGACTTTTTGGAAATATCAAAAAAACCTGTGTCCCTAACAGAAGGGGAATTTTTAATAGCAAGACAAAAGGTTGAAAATATGTCTAAAAGAGGAAAACAGAAAACATCCTGATCTTTGCTTATTTAAATATAAAAAAGCAATCAGGAAAAGTGAGCAAGAGTATTTGGAAAACCTGCAAGAGACATAAACCAAGTACTTATTCAAACACAGGAAATCTGCTAGAGACGAACTAAGAAAAACAGGTGATCACAAGGACTTAGAGACACTTATCATGAACACTCAGAAAACCAAGCATGATAGAGGGAAAAAAGAACCCAAATTCCAAAACAGATAAAATCTGTAAAGTCCTAAGAAGCAATCTCATAATATTGAATTATTATTGAATAACTCATTAAGTATTGAATTGATACTAAAAACAAAAAAGAATTTGCTTCCAAATGGACAACTTGATGCACAGGAGAGGGATCAGCATGACCAGGCAGCAGTGCCTCAAAATTCATCTATTTTCTGAAGGATTCAGTTAGAATGTGAGAAGGGATATATGGGTGATAGAGTCTACTTGGACTCCTAAGTGGTATTTGATAAATACATATTAATAAAAGATGTAAGACAGCAAATAAACAGGGGCTTTTTCTGAATCACCTCTAAAATCCTAATTTCTAAGACTAATAATTAACAGTCCTTACATACTTAAACCATAAAATTCCCCTGATTGTACAGTGGAGCATCGATTTGTGGAAATATTTCAGCACACAGCAGTGGCCCCCAAATTGACCTTGTGTCACTGGGCACCACCTTCTGGGCTTGACCATTCGGCTAATTTTCAGTTCACCTCACTGTCGGCTCACCTAGCCCTTGGATCGATAGATTGTCTATGAGGATCTTAATGGGAGACAGTGTAAGTCCAGGCAGACAAAATCCACTGTTCTCCCCCTGCCTACCAGGGCAGTCACTTCTCTTTGATAACTGGTCCAGCACAACATTTCTTTGGTGAATCCATGCACACTACTCATGAAGACTTTCTTGCCTTTGTGCCTGGAAAATGTTTTGCAGGATTAGCTGCTCCACCATTTTCTGTGGATTAAAGCAAGGCTGACTAGCCTGTAGATCCCTGATTTCTCCTTCTTGCCTTTCTTAAACACAGGAGTGACATTTTCCTTTCTCTAGTCCAGAAGCACTTCTCCCAGTCATAATCTTCCTCAGCATCCCGGTAGCATCCCACCAAGGCCCACGGAATTACGAATCTCCAGTTTGAATAAGTACTGCCTGATCTACCCACAAAGGGTATGCATTCCTTTCTCCAGCCTTTCCCTTTGGTCTCTGGGACCCGGAATTCCGGAAGGCTGGCCCTTGCAGAACAGACTGGAGAAAAGAAGGAATTCACCACTGCAGCATTTTCCTGTGCCATCAGGTTTCCTGCCCCAAGCAGCAATGGGCTCACATTTTCTGCAGTCCTCCTTTTGTGATTTCTGCACTTACAGAAGTCCTTCTTGTCGTCTTTGATATCTCTTGCCTGATTCAATTCCATTTTGGCTTCAGCTTTTCCAACTGCATCTCTGCACGCTCATACAATGGTGCTGTATTTCTCCTAGGTTGCCTGTCCCTGATCCCACTTTCTATATTCCACCTTCTATATTCTTCCTTTTTACATCTGAGTTTTGCCTGGAGCTCCTTGTTCATCCATGCAAGCCTCCTGGCATTTTTGCCTGACTTCCTACTCATTGGAATGGACGGCTCTTGTGTTTGAAGGAGATGATATTTGAATACTAAACAGCTTTTTTTGGCCCCTCTTCCCAAATATAATATAAAACTATCAATTTTGGATGAGAAGAAAGTGTCAAGGACAGCCCTTATGTCTGAAAGTGTTAAATTGGTCAAAGACTCTCCTTTCATCTCTTTTATGATGAATGGCTGTGTATAGAATATTTCATACCAGTGCAGAGGTATGTTAGTTATATGGTTGATAAGTTCAAATTACAAGTAAGTTATAATTTCCGGAATTCTTAGTTCACATAAAACAATTTATTTGCATAAAAGCTTATAAACTTTAAGTAGAAGTGAACTCTTTAACAGAAGCATCTAAAAATACCACTCTACGCCGTTGCATTACACAGAAAGAGCCCACAGCAACTCAGTTGCCCTGCCCAAAATTCAAGCAACAAAACACACAAAATAAAAGACAAAATATATTGCCAAAATACAGACTCTCCTGAATTACACCAAACCTGTGGTATAGGCACAGCACAGGCTGAGAGACAGGAATTTCCATGCACCAGCTGGGAATTGAACCCAGGTCACAAGAATGGGAACCTTGCATGATACCACTACACCACTGGTGCTTCCTGCTGGTGTGAACTTATTCAGTATCATTTCACTCTAATCAGAGGCAGGTCAAAATAAGGACTATGCAGGAAAAAAGAATTTTCTACCTGAAAAACATTACTTGAAGAACATAACACATACCCTAAAATACTGACAAGAGGTCACTGGGCAATTAACTAATCCCTTTTCCTAGGGAAATTTTGAAAGAGTAAGGATGGAAAACCCTAAAAAAAGTCTTCTGTTTTTTTCTCACAATATATATAAATAGTCAATCTTCTTTTGGTGAAGGCAAAGCTAAACAGCTTCATAGATTCGTTCCAAAATGTCTATGGTTATAAAAAGACTTAAATTTCAAAACAGTAAAGCCAAGACAGTAATTTGTCTCAACAGTGCAGAGTAAGCAGATGTGTGCTGAAGCTGGAAAAAATGAGAAGAACCAAACAATAATTGTTCCATTTTGACAGCCAATACCTTTCATGTGGAGGAAAATTTTTTTCTTGAATACATGGCTACCCGTGACTCTGGAAGTCAAAGCACTTCAGGATGCAAGAAAAACATAAATATTCCAGGCAGAAAACCAAGTGGACTGCAGCTGAAAGAAGTTCTTTGGTGCAATGTGTTCCATGGTCCACTTCATGTACAGGTGCTGAAACTTTTATCACAGCTTCTGCAGCTTACTCGGGAACTCTGCCCCATTTGAGAAGCAATACTAAGTGTTTAATTTTTGAAATGAATTTATTTATTATTAATTTTAGTTAATTAATTAATTAGAATATTTTCCAAATATTTCATGCATTTAGCAGCTGTACATAGCATGAATACCTGAGATTTCCTGGTCAAATAATACCTGTAAGATGTATTCAGTCTTCATGGAAATTGAGTTAATATCAGGTGAAATGCACTGCTTTTCCTCAGCTCCTTTTATTCAAGATATCTAACATAATTTGAAGGAAAGGTAACACAAAGGAAGTAATTAGTGGAAGACCAAAAATTTAAGGGTTTCTGAGCAGAACCAAATATTCTGCCTCTCTCATAGCATTGAATGGCAACTCCTCAACCATATTTATTTACAACCTTTGTTTAAAATAAATTTCTTATTCAGTAAATAACTCCAGAAAAGATAAAAGGAGACTTTCAAATAAACAGACCTACAAAAAACTCTCTTTCTTTGTCCTTGCACTCAGTAACACACAGAACAAATGGACATAACTTTTACCTTTTAGGAGAGATTAGCAATTGGTTTCTTCCTAAAGATCAAATATGTCAGATGCCAGGTTGGTGGTTTTTAAAGTAAAATCGAGAAAACGGAGGGGTGCAATAAAACAGCATTCCAGAAATTCCATGTAAGAGTTAACTTACTTTGTCATAAGAAAGTAATAAACAGAAATCTGGGATTGTATTAGAAGCAAAATCCTGTTTTTACACTAAAGCAAGATGTAGAAAGCATTTCTTCTGAATTGAATACTACGTTTAGCCTACACGCATTATTTCCTGTGACTAGATTAAATGGCACAGACTATCTGAAGAGATATTTCCTTCTCAAAGGATGGTTTCAGATCATCCTTTGAAGACATATATAGAGCTCCAGGAATCCCTCATTACTGGGAACTTTTCAGAATTTGTCATTCTCTGGGACTTGAATCTGAACTTTCACATGCACTTCCTGAATTCCCAAACATGTGGAAGGACAAGGATCAGGACACACTCACAGCAATACCATTATATGTGACATAGACAATACTCTCAGGATTTCTCTTGAATGTCCCCAGTTTTTCTTGATCTCTGTAAAGTTTTAGTGTACAACATGGTCTCAGTGCTTCTCAAATCTGCTTTCTGACAACTCACCTCTCAATCCTGTTCTCTCTATTTGTCTCTACAAATTCTTACAAGCCTGAGTTTCCTCTTTTAGCTTATCAGTTAATACTTCCAAAACAGGTAAGACCTCTCCCCATTATTACAGATACGATTAAATAAAAATTCTGTCAATCAATAAAGATATCTATTAAATTGAAAATAATAAATTTGGAAAGCTGTCACTAATTTCAAAATACTCTAATAATCCCAATAAGTAGTTCCATCAGCATCAGAACTAATGAAGCCTGGTTTATTACTCATTTGTGTTCCATCATTGATTTACATTGGTGTGTTAAGGCATGAGCTCTGACTTGAGCCATTAATAAGGACTCTGACACAACTCCTCCTTTCTTTCGTCTTTGGATCCCCTCTCTTTTCCCACACCTACTATATGGCATTTTTGGCATCTAGTAAGGAATGTTTTCATGCTGACAGGATGTATTTATTTAACTCAGTCATCAATTTCTAAAAAAACTTTAAGAATCTAATTATTTTCAAGAACTTTTTTTCAGATGATTTTGTTGCAACCAGACAATGAAATCCAAAGATTCTGGGGGGATAAAGACAATAACCTGTCTGATAAATAAAGCCAGCATACAATCGGAGCTCAAAAGAAGAAGGAACTAAAAACATGTGATTTTTTTTCTGCACTGTGAATATTATGTACAGTATTGTTTAAAGTATAGATATTTATAATCAATAAACTGAAGAGCTACAAAATATATGTGCATATCTTAAAAGAATTCACAGAAAATAGAGAAAAATAGTATTTCAGATTCTATGTTTATAACCATCACAAATGAAAAAAAAAAAACATTATAAAAGCTTTTACCAAAATGTTTTGGGGACTGAGGTTTCTGTTAGCAAAAAAACCATTTCAGAATCTTCCTCATTTTCAAGGTATGTATTTTCTTTTTGCATAATTTTAGCTTTTTTTTATTTCAAGTAAAATCAAAAAATGTTAGCTGATCAATTTCAGCCTGAAACAATTTGAAATTGTTGAAATGTGATTTTACAGACAGACTTACAATAAAAGTAAGGTTCATTTTGTAGGCATGCTTCAAGTGCAAAAAAAAATAGTTCTCTTCCTATATTTATATTGCTGGCATTACCTATTTCTTATTTTTTGCACAAACCCTCTATTTTTTACCCTCATGTTCCTAATTTTTATATTTCAAACTCCCCAATGCTTCATTAATATTTAGAATCCTTTGATTTATGGCCAGTAGATTGCTTTCTTGATGGATTTCTAATGAACATTAAACCATTAAGACACCTCAAAATAAGCTGAAATTATTTCAGGCCAACACAGTAGACATAAGGATGCAAGTATTTTTAATTAATTTACATTAAAAAAAGAAAAGAAGGTACTGATTCTTCCACAGTTTTTATCATTTAAGAAGCAGCATCTGATAATTTTACACTCTCATCTCCTTGGGCTGCTATTTTGTTATCCAAATATTCTATACAAAAAATATTTTGTAAAGCAAGCAATACAAATTTCTCATGTTTCTTTGTGATAATAAACAATATTTTAATAAAAAAAAAATAAAAGGAAGACTATTAAAGAGTAGTTAGGGATGTTTTATGCTATTGTGTGCATTTGTGCATTGCCCTTGCAGGATATCCTTGCAGAATCTTTAGGCTTCACAGTCTCAGTGAGAGCACAATCACTGCCTGCTAATTCACATATGACATATGTGGTATAACTATGCAGAATACCTCAAATTTTTCTCAACCTTAAGATTTTCCTTAATATCTCAATACCTCTCTTCATTCAATTAATAGAGTCACAGAATGGTTTGGGTTGGGAGGAACCCTGAAGATCACCTTGGCCACAGAAAGGGACACTTTGCACTAGATCAGGTGGCTCAGGGCCCCATCCAGCCTGGCCTTGAACACTCTCATGGATGGAGAATCCATAATTTCTCTGCTCAAATCAATGATGGATCAATCACTAGAGCTTAAGGAAAAATGAGGATGTTAGGGAAGCAACCACTTGGAGGATAAGGAAATAATTTGCAGTGGTTTTAGGTGGAAAAAGGCATAACTTTTCACATGAAGCCTAATAAACTTTGTTACCTTCCCTCTCCTTCCTCTGCAAAAGTTGAAACAACTCCACATCCTATACAATTCACATATTGATGAGAGTCCAACTGGAAAATGGCAGGCAACAAACATATTGGTTGATCTAGTAACATCAAGGTTCATAATAAAAATCTTAGAGAATAATACATGTGAGAAAATCAGGACAGAATTAGGATACAGGTACTTTAAATGGCATGCAATTTCCTACTGGTATCTCAAGCATCTGATGAAGAACAGATTTACATAAGAACCTTTGTGACTATGTCCCAGCAGCTAAGGAGGGACTTGTTATCTGTTACAGCTCTGCTGTACTTCTCTAGGGTTCTATCAATTGTCCATGGATGGCTGTACCTTCCATGGCTGGGGACGGAAAGTCCTAACCTGAATGATTATGGATTGTAAAGCACGATCTGCAATGAAGCACCTTTACTAACCTAGAAAGAGGAGATTAAAGCCAAAATGTTTAAGCCTCCCAATATGTAAAATACTCTGAGAAATATAATGTCCCAACCCTGAAAATGTTCAAGGCCAGGCTGGATGGGGCTTTGGAGAACCTGGACTAGTGGGAAGTGTCCCTGACCTTAGCAAGGGGCTGGAACTAGATGATCTTTAAGGTCCCTTCCAATCCAAACCATTCTGTGATTCTAAATATAGTTCAGTGAACTGTGAGAAAGACAAAGAGTTGGCTATATATATAGGGGAAAAAAAAATCCAAACCAACTGATTAAGTATGAGCAAAATGTCCTAGTTTTCAAATTGCTAGTACATAGGAAAAACATTATTCAGAAATGTTTTTCACTCTTTCAATGCTTTTAGAGCAAACATTTTGACAGGAGTTACTTGAAATAATGTCACACTGTGCAGGTAATTAATGAAAACAAAAGAAAAATAGTTGAGAACAATTTTAAAAGAAGAATTTCTTCTAATCTTTCAGAAACAAAGTCCAGGTAGATACATAAAATAGGTTTAATCCATACAGATGCCTTTTGTAATGTAAATCTGAGTAGCATGATAAAAAGAAAACTCACAATTGTCCTTACTATGTCAAAAGTTGTAACACTCCTAATAGATCACATATAACATTTAAAATCAGCATGAATTAACACAGAAACAATATCTACAAGAAACAATGCTGAAAAACATTCATTCACATCACTTCTTCTGTCTTCAGACTTATTGGTGTATGTGACAATTGTCACGTTCTAATTTGGGTCTGATTCATACTTCAGTGAAGAAACTGAATACAAACCCAATATTTTCCTAATTCCTAAAATAACTCAATTACCTCTGAAATATTTTTATGATGATCAGAAGAATAACTTGGCTTTTGAAGGAAATTTGCAATAACAAATCAGATTTTTGCTAAACTTAATTTTGCACACCTTTAGGTGGTCACCTAATGGAGCAGTTCCATGCTCCACATTATCCCTGTTGTGCATATCTGTCTTTGTATTGTCTTGGTCTTAATAACCAGGTGGTACCTGCTGAAGTATATCTGGTCATCAATCCCAGATGGAAATATATGTAGAAAGAAAAATAAAAGGACAAAAAAGGCTTATTAATAAGTATTGGCTCTATTGAATATAGTTGTGTTCTCAATATCTGTTGGTAGCAACTGTTGGCACCACTAATAGAAAAAAAACTGTAATACACAGCTAAAAAAAAAGGCAAGAACATGCCCACTGGTGGTTGTAATATCACTGTATCTTTGCTTTTTTTTTTGTGGGGTGGGAGGGTGCTTTGGGGATTTTTTGTTAAATTCTGGGCATGCTTGGTACATTCAGCTGCTCAGAAATCCTCCATATTGTATATTCTGGATTCCACTTGATCATTAGCAGGACTGGTTTACCAAGACGGATAGCCCACAATGGTGCAGAGCACGTACAAGAGAATGAATTTCATATTTATTTGCACTGGTACACACACACACACACACATATATATATGTGCACCCAAATTCTGTTGTGAGCATCTACATTTTCTAGGCATTTTCTACTGGCTCAACAGGAGCTGTCAATTAACTGAAATCTCATAGTCAGGCTCTGTGAGGAGCTCCAGTTCAGATTTTAGACTATAAAGTACAAGATTTAAAAATTAATTATAGGAAATACAGCAGAAAAAGGGGAAAATTGTAAATAAAATAGAACAAAATTATGCATGATGTAAAAGTGTATCACATGCCATCTCAGATTAAAAAATCTGCTAACTTCAGAGGACAGTTATGCTGTCCCAATACATGCACACATCATTCCAGATGACTTAAGAAGATAAGAAATATAAGGCAGATATCTGCCCTGAAACAAAAAATATGTTGGTAACTTACAAAACTGTAAAATGGCTATGATTTTTTAATAATTAAAGCAGAAAAATAATACTAAAACAAAATAATGAACAAGAGATCTCTACTGAATCTACCACCTCTAATTTTAAAATCCATATTTTTATTTTTACTTATACAGAGGATCTTAACTCTTAAACATACAAAATATTTAGGCATTCATGTACTTTTCAATAACAGATACTCATTTACTTGCTTGTTTATAAATATTCAAGACTCACTTTGCTGTTCCAACATTTTACATCTTCCTGGATTTCTGCTTTTTGCTTCACTAACTCCTCAAGGTGTTTTTCATCCTTTATAATCTTCTCTTCTGTTTCTTTTAACTTCATACAGTATTCGGTCCAAATAAATTCAGAATGCTTTACCTCATTTCTAATAGAAATACACACAAAATAAATCTATCTATTTGGAAATACTCCAAGGTAGACCCTCTCCATAAAGGAAAATGTAAAGCAGACTTGAATTAGTAAAGATTTATTATGATTCTCTACTATGTTCCTTGAACAGGTAAACATGAGATAATTTCAAAATTCCCACCCTGGGAAGTTCATGCAATTTCAGCCGGAACTACTCCTGCTACCAGTTCACTCTCCCTTAAAGCCTGCCAACATTACAACTTCTAATTGGACTTCTGAGCAGGTATTGGAATAGTCAAAGAAAGGCTTTTTTTCATACCTCACATGTCAACTAAACAAAATAGGAGTCAGCACTCTGTTAGTGGCTGAATCTAGTTCAGAGCCATCCTCACTTAATCAATCCACTGCGCTGTAATTTTGTAGACAAATGTCATTTGTGAATTAAATTTTTCACTGACATCAATTGTTCATGCTAAAAGGAACTTGAAGGCAAGGTCAAAGGAGGGGTTAAGGACTTTACTTTCACTCTGAATAGCAGATTTAAAAGCATTACAGGAAGGAAAGCTTGCCATAATTACAGAACAAGACACTAATAACTACAACAATTGTCAGGAAAACACTCCCATGAGACACGGTTATAGACCTCATTACAGGCTGTAAAAATGCCCTTTTTTTTACATTTGTGAATGGATTTGACAAAAAGGCAAAAGAAATAGAGGCATATCAGGTAAAAATTTTACAATGGCTGCTGGTATTTGTCCATTATTTTTATCATTGTTTCAGCAGGCAGAAAAAAGTTTCCTCCATTCTGCCAAGATAACTGTTCTGGTCAATAACATACTCCAAAGTGTGGCATATATTGTAAAATGAATCCACCACTGCAGAACTAAGACCATCAGTACCTGAGTTTTAGAGACAACTATTGCAGTATAACCTAAAAAAACCCCTGCAATAAGACAAGAGGAAACAATCATAAAGTTGCTTCATCACTAATTCAAGAGCATTTTCTGCAAGATTGTTTAAGAGACATTCTTCATTTACTTGCTTCCAATATTTCATCTAATGGTGAAGCAGACTTGCCAGGTGTCACAGGGTGTGTATAGCACGAGCATGAAGCCCAGCACTTTGAACTCCTGCACTTCCTTAGGTCCCACCACCCATGCAAGAGACATATAAATAGTATTTGGCACTATTCTAACAACAGACATGTAACAGTCATAGGCTGTAATTTTCTTCTCATATTACCTATCAGCTACAACTTTCTGAGTCGTAGCTGTCATGAAAAATTACAGCACCATCAGCCACAATGCGTGCGTGCAAGGCACAGACTGTGCCGCATGATTTATAACAGCCTCAGTATTTTCGGTTTCGTGCAATCTTCATCATTTTCTCACTGATGGCACTGAACATAAAGAAAAGAGTATGAACTGCAGAGCAGTCTTTCCAGTCTGTGCCACCACAAATCTTTCTCATGCCTATCAACATTACGTTATTCTAGTCCCCCTCAGATGGCAGCTGAAGGGATCTACTTCCTCTGTAATGTAAGCATGACTTTAGTTACCAGTTTAGCAAATGATACCAAAAAATTAAAATTAAAATATTCAGTAAAAAAATCAACAACCAACCAACCAACCAACCAAAAAAAGCCACCCAAAAAACCTCCTCCCAAAAAACCACCAAAAAACCAACCTACAAACAAAAACTGCAAAAAATCTGAACCTCTCAAAACCCCAAAAATAAATGCTTCACTAAGAGATAGAAAAGAGTTTTCTACTTGCATTTTTCTGAAAATACTGATATTCCTAAAACCACTGGTATCATTAGCATTTTCAGTTTAATTCACAGTCAAAAAAAGCAAAGCAGGTTACAGGGTGCACACGAGTCAATGTCACTGTCATGTGATATGAAAAGGAAATTGTATAGTTAGATGAAACAGAAAACAAACATGGCATATGTATGCCTGTATGCCTATTCTGTCAGGATAGATGACTAATTTTGGTACTCTTTACCTATTGCCATTATCATGGGGATTTTACTTACATAATGACTTCTTTCAAAAAAACAAATTTTAAAGCATCTCAGAAAAAAGATTAGCTACAGGAAAACACTGCACCTCCCCTCTTGCACATCAAACAATCTCAAGCACCCCAATCTCCTACAAGACTACCAAAAACCCCAGAAAAACTGCCCATGCTGCCCTACAACTACTAAGCAAGCTAACAGCTGTGACATAATGACAGAATTTAGAGGGAACTGAACAAAATCTTGCACAAAAAACCTTTAAAAAGTGAAGTAGTCACAAGACAAGATGAAAAAATTCTAATATTTATTTAAAAATTAAGTACAATCAGATTATCAACTTTCATTGAAAAAATAGGTTGGAGGATGGTATCTCAAAATCCTATATCTGTTGTTTTGATATATTTACAAATTATGTGAACAGGCAGGAGCAGTGAAATTAAAAGTTTGCATATAATCTGATTACAATAGGAAAGGTCAAAATAAGCTAAAAAACTTCAGAAAAATTTTAGGACAAACTAAGCCACTGGGGAACAAACCAGCACATACCATTTTGCGTCCAAACTCGAAGTAAAAGATCAGAGAAATTAAGTACATCATAAAATTCTAAATTAACTGTTTCTATTTGAGAGAAACATGTACGTGTTTCCACAAACATGTCCACTCAACATTTAGCACAGTTAAAGAAGCTAAGAAGGTTAAATTAAGCAAGAAATGGGATGGAAAATATTAGAAGAAACAAAAGTAATACCTTCCTCTTAAAGTCAGTGTCATGGTTTAAGTTGGAATATTCTTTGTATTACCTTTCAACCCATTTCAGAAAACTATGTCAGAGAAATGAAAAGAAACCAGAAGGCATCTTAGAAAGGTCCTAAAATACAGAACTCTTCTTAAAGGACATTGAAAATAATGAAAATTGCTTTAGAAAAAAGAAATGAATAATGAACAAAGAAATCCAAAGTCACAGACCACATAGCCTAGTGAAGAAAGTTGACAATACACAGAAATATTTATTCTTACATATACCTTAAGACTTCAAGCCCTAAACTACAACAATTTTTCTACAAATTTTTTTTTGGGGGAAAAAACCTCATAGCTGCTGATCACACTCTATAAATATGAATCAATAAGGAAAAAAGTTTAATAGTATGTATATGATGGAAGGGTAAAAAAAAAGAGAAAGAAAATAGGAAAAAAATATACTTTTAACAATATTTTTCCTGGTGTTACATGATAAAATCACCTTCAGCAACAGTTACTATAATCAGAACATCTGAATGCATAGTAATAAATTACATGACATTTTGGTAATACATCTTACTCAGTACCTGATCTTTACCATAATTAAAATCAACATGAGGTTTGCAATGAACTTAACAAGTTACAGAATCAAGGTCCATGCTTTCTGATTTCTCTCTGCTGGAACCCACAAAGGAGCTAATGAGTATTTGATCAGTTCTTCTCCATATACATATTTAAACAATAATCAAAATTCCAAATATTATGAAGACATTGTGAAGCTTGAATTCCCAGACTCATGTACACTAAAAACAAGTGTTATTTCTTACTCTTCACATACCTCTTCTTTTGCTTAGACATACATTGTGATGTTAATTGAAGAATTATGTGGCAATTTTCAGAAGTCGCTCCAGCTTTGTCAAGTGTTATTACAAAACTCTGCTCTCAGGTTTTGTGTAATAAAATACTTCCACTTTAGCTCTATATCTGACCACAACTTTAATTTTTCATGTACTAATATTCTTTTCAGACTGTAAAATAGGTTCTGAAATTAAAAAGTTAAACCTTAGTTAACTAAAACCAAATATGTTGACTGTGGATCTACCTTAGAGGTAATAAAATATAATTAGCAAAAATATCTCTAATATAATGTCAAAATTATCCTGACTCAATAAAACCAAGCCTTAGAAATTCACTGTAAATGTTAGGATCAAAATAGGAAAAATTTAAATATGATGAAAAAAGAAACAAGTCAGTCAGAGACACTTAGATCTCCAGGATTGCTAAGTTATCCATCTCAGAGAAAAATACAGGTTTTGATCCTACACTGACTCATCCTTCCTGAGACATGGACAATTTGGATCATATTACAAGTGCACCACCACTTTGCAAGTGCAAGGCCAGAACTCTTCAAACAGCAACATTATTTGTGTGAATGCATGTTAGCAAGATGCCTCCTGTTCCCATACTAGGGGTGAACTTGTTACAGACAGAGCTGTGATCCTTCTTTAGTTCTCCTGTTTGGTGCCAATGACAAAGAGATCCACAGCAATGTGATATCTCAAAGAAATGGGATTATTGCATCTAAGCAACCTTCCCTTGCTCAAGAATGTGCCAGTAAGGTTTCTGCTGTGACCTGCAAGCACAGATCTCCCTGGACAGCAGACATCAAAAGCACCCATCTTATTAGCTCAAGAAATGAGTTCCTGATGTTGATAATACCTAGGTCAAAATACACTGTAAGAGTGCCCTGTTTTTCAGGGTTACTTTCTGCTTCAAGGCTAAGTAACTTCTGAGATTCTGAGGCAGGAAACAAGTGGGACTAAAAGAAGTGTTTCAAGGTCCTGAGCAGTAAACAGTTTTTTAAAAAAAAGTTGCTGATGTTTTTAATCTAAACAAACTGAAAATGACACAACCAACTCACATTATTTAATCAGGTACAGCTCTTAACTATGGCATATAGAGTACCATAAACAGCAAGAAAAACAACCACAGTTATGAATTCCAATTATTTCTTGAAGAAAAAACTTAAAATTTAAAACCAAGAGAAAATGTCTGCAGCTACTATGACCTCTTCTTTATATATCTCTGAGAGTAGGTCCTTTCACAGAGGTAACCAGGATACCTTACTCCCAAATTCTACTGTGAGTCTTGTTTTATTCAAACATATCTCACTAGAGAAGTTGACACACAATTTAAATAGAATAAAAATTCTTCCTTTTTGGTACATCAAATGAAAATGTCACTCACGGTACCCTCTACTCTCTCAGTTACTTGAAGATTTTGTTTCATGGTAGACAAGACTACAAAAGAGACTTCACTGACTGAATGCAGGCATTACAGTGGGCAATGTGTAAGTATACTGGTTTGGGCTGGGATCCAGTTAATTTTCCTCAGAGTAGCAACTATGAGGCTTTGTTGGGGTTTTGTGCTGGAAGTGGTGCTGTTTCCACACAGGGATGTTAGCAGGGCCTACACAGAGTCAAGCCTTTTTCTGTGCCTCACCCTAGCAGAGAGCAGGCTGGGGGTGCATGAGGAGATGAGGGGGACACAGCCAGGACAGCTGACCCCAACAGATCAAAGGGATATCCCACACCATATGGCATCATGCTTACCATACCAAGTTGCAGGGAGGAAGGAGTTGCTTCTCAGTGATGGTGTTTGTCTTCTCGAGCAAATGTCTGATGTGATCGACCCCGGCTTTCAAGGCTGAACACCTGCCTGCCCATAGAAGTGGTAAATTGATTTCTTGCTTTGTTCTTCTTGTGTATATGGCTGCTTCTTCTTCTCTTAAACTGTTTTTATTTCCACCAGTGGCTTTTTTCATTTTTACCCTTCTGATTCTCCACACCATCCTGGTTCAGGGGAAGAAAGCGAGATGCTGCGTGGGGCTCAGGTGCCCACTGAGGTTAAACCACAGCAATCAATTATTCACATTGCTTACCTTTTGTCTTTTTAGAAAGTCTGGCTGTGTGCTGCAAGCTTGTAGACAATGAAAATGACAACATTTATTTCTGCCAACAGCCTCTGGACTTCAGTGGTTTCTTGGCAGAGAGGGGTTGGCCTATGGCATAAGATTCTTAGGGATATACAGATAGAATGAACTTTGGCAAATAAAGATTCACTGAGCAGAAGTGAATAAAAGCTCTTACAGGTTTTACACCTGTGCTGGTGGTAAGAGGAGCTATCATAGCTCTCAGTCATATTTAAATGCTTAAGAAAAGACTGTCACAGCATTGTGGAATCACCCAGTTGTCTCACAGACACAGATAGCCCATCTCCTTGAGGAATCTAATGCTATTGCCAGGAGCTTCATGAAATTCCACTGTTAGTCCAATAAACAAAATTCTCCTCTACAAATGATCTCTACAAAACATCAGTATGTTGCATTCACAGCACCTCCTGTGAGCAGAATGGATCAGTGTATGGAAACAGAAATCCTGCAGTAAGACAACGTCAGTGCCTTCATTTTGAAGAGACATGGCAGTAACCTGAGGTGATACATGGATCTGTAGATAACAAACACCCTTTTAAGTCCTCCTTTCTTTAAAAAATAGGAAATTCAGTAACAAGAAATATTTCTTCAGCTCTGTAAGTGCTCCTTTACAGTTCTTAGGTAAACTAATGAGGCAAACTCTATAGTGACTTCAAATGAAAATGATTCTTTAGAAGAAACAGAGAATGGGTGATGGACAATCCCTTGCAATGATTGTGCTGGACGGGAAATGGACATTTACTGAAATGAGGTTAACAAGGACACCAGTTTGCACATAAAACTCAGTCATTAGCACTAGAATTAATACCTTGAATGAAGCATCAGCTATCAGGACAGGTTTTCAACCCCTGCTGTACACGAGGCACTTTTTAACTTCAACTCTCCAGAATATCAGAACAGTGCATGCTGACCCCACTCAGGTACTGCAGAGCACAACCTGAATTATGAAACTGGCCTACAAATTCCTAGCGAACCCAGGTAGTTCTGAATTAATAAGATGGACCAAATTTCATTACTAACGGAGAAATTTATATACTCCATAATTACCATGCACAGTTTTTTAATACCTGATATTTGAAGAGCAGGTGCTGTCACATGGCTGCGGTACTGAAATGTCTGCTTTGGCCACTCAAGATATTTCAGAAATTTATTACTGCCTTTCAATTATTCCTGTGAGCTTTCCTCATCTCAAGTGAAAAAAAAGGCCACTGTGTCACTTGCTACATTGCCAGATAAAAGCTGGCAATGAGCCATAGGCATATGCAGCAAAGTCGAGTGTAACCTCCTACCAAACATCAAATACTTGATATTCCTGTTCTGTGGCACACTTATTCTTTGTGCTGACTCTTTGTCTGTATATTCAGAGATGGAAAGGAAGGATTATTTGTCAGTAACTGGCCATTAGTGGTGTCCAGATGTTACTATAGCTCTACTTGATAATCCAGCAGAAAATAAATTGACAAGAGGTTACAGCAAGGAAACTCCAACAAAAGCCACCGCCAAATAGAAGCTACCTTGCAATCCAAAAAACCAATTTTGTTGGTTTGTTAAAATAAAAAAAAAAAAAAGGTTGAAGAGGTATTTTGATAAATTCCAGTAATTTGTGCAGTAAATAAGAATGATAGCAGAATGTTGTGTCAAAGGGATTAAAATTATAATTATCATAATTATAATTCTGGATATCATGTCTTTCTTATTCTGTTAATGCAGGCTAAGATAAAAGAGGCAAGCACTTATGTATAATTCCATTATTTTAATTGAAGAAAAAACAAAAGAATTTAAAATAATTTCTACAAGTAAATTTTCTATAGTTTGGTTGCCTTTATTAAAACCAACAGGGAATTATAATGCTATAGTGGAGAGCTCTTACTTCTATTGACTCAAAGCATGTCAGGATATTTAATTTTCTCATACATACATGCATCTTTAGATTATTTATCAATCCTTTTCATTTTTTTTGTGTTTCGATGAGTTCACATTAAACATCACTGCATATTTATGATGTCAGAAAACAAGTTTTCTGAAAGTTTTTATATAAAAAGCATACATAATGTTCGCAATAAAAAAACCTCCAAGATTTATCTGATTCTTGTCAATTTAAAAATTGATGTTTAAATTTGAGTGCCAGAGAAAGGCAACAGAATGTGTTGGAAAATTGCATAATTTAAAAAAAAATACCACTAGCAAGAGGGCTTTCATTCTGTTGGAGAATTTTGGAGTTATTTTGAAAAGGTGGCTACTTTCATGGGAAGATAGTGACCTCTGGAGCAGAAAGAAAGAAATTATGTGCAAAGAAGCCACTGAGGTTTCACTCAGTAACCCGACAAAATCCTTACTGAAGCATCTCCTAGAGGCTGTGCAGCCTTTGCAGACAATGCAATGACCATATTTTTTAATGGGATAGATAATATTGGGGCACTCAGCTTGTAACAACTCTCAAACAGAGATATGCATGTCTGTTTTCTCTTCTTTTTAAAATACTACAAATATAAACAACACAATATAAAATCTTTATTAGAATCTAGCTTAACTTTGCTGCTTAAATTAGTTCTCTGGATACTAAAAACTAGATATTAAAAATTAAATAATTATTTTAATTGCAAAGGCAACTAGCTATCAGCTGCTTTTTTATGATTGTGGCAGGAAACCCCAAACCTGAGTAATAAACAGTTAAATCAGAGCACAATAAAAGTCACAGATAATTTACTTGACATTTAAAAATTCTGTTGAAATGAAATATATAAATAGGATAAATACAAATCTGTAAAGACATATAAATACAGTAACAATAAGTCTATCTCCTTGTGATATGCAGCGCCAATTTTTGGAAAGAAAGAAAAAAATACTCCAAAAAAAGTGGATTTTAAAATAGCCTTGAAAAAATATTTTAAGTCTACTTCTAGTACATCTCAATATTTTAGCTGCATATATTTTAGGACATCAACACACAAATAAGATATCCAACTTAAAAATGTTACCAGCTTGATTTTTAATCAGTATTTCAAACATATAGACCTGATAGAATGGTGATGCGTTTCATAACTCAGAACTAATTCATGATAGTTCTTATATTATTTGCATAATAGACAATTAACTTTTCCATTTTAGAAGTATTTTGACATGACTTCAGAGTTCCCCTAAACTGAATTAAAAATAAAACAAAAAGACACAACATTATAAATCACTTACAAAAAAACTCCTACATTTTAGACTGTAAGTACCTTGAAAAAGAGATTGTGCTCTAGATTTGCACTTAAAAGGTATTGTAGAAAGTATATTGAAAACATTATAATTGTTCCTAATATTTGAACTTGAAGTAACACAGTATCCCTCCGGCTTTAGAAATCAATATTAAGCTATCTGCAACTTTGTTCTACTTTGATTCTTAAGACTGGCATCCTCCATATTAGGCATTTACCATAAAAAATATTATAAATATTACAATCAATAAATACCATAAGTAAATACATTAGGAAAAACGTATATCAGCACTAAAAAATAATTGAATTTTGTAAACTTTTTTTGGACAGTTTCTGATGTCTCCATATTCTGCAACACAGATGTCTGTGTAAAAAAAGAAGAGAATCAATGCAAATATAACATATGTGGCTTCAACCATTCTCAGGAAAAACCCCACATGACATCATCTTATAGAGTCAGAATTACATTCCATGTATGCCTCAGAGACATTTATTAAAGGCTGGCAGCATTATCCTCCCTGGGTTCTGTCAGCACTGAGTGCCTGTACGTAGTGCTACAGGTGTACAAAATGTAAAGCGGACATTGGTACTTCCAGCAGATTTCTGTTCTCTAAAATGTGGGGAATATATCTATTCATGGTGAAAAGAAACTAAAAGAAACCTCTGTGTATGATCTGGATTTACCTTTCCATACATCCTCCACAGCTGTGCCCTTGGATTCAGCTTTTCTTCCAGCAGAGGGCTGTGTTTCTTCACGAAGTCTGTTTCCTCCTGAATCTCTCTGTTGGCTGTTTCTTACATTTTTGGTTCTGTACCTGCAGCAGCTGACAGCTTTTACAATCAAAATGCCTCCATAGCTCCAAGATATCTTAAACACACATGTAATATTCTGCTGAAAAGATAATTAGCATAACAAAATGCGGGTAACTGAATGACACCATGAGTAACTAGTGAGATTAGGAAATATCTTGTCATAATGCTAAGGCTTGCAAAATTTTGCTATAAGTTTCTTTGAAGGCCGAGAAAGGACATTGACGAGAAAAGATCAGCAGCTATTGCATTAGGAGTGGATCTGGTTTATAAACTCATAATTAGTTATCCTAGTATGTAAGTCAAACAATTGCTCAAAGCTGGGGTGGTTTTGTTTTCATGGAGGAAATGAAAACACCTCGCCTTAAGGCATTTGTAGAGGAGGCTATTATGACACAAGAACAGCTCTGCCGAGCTGCCTAGCCTCCAGCTATGTTGATGTATGACATATGTTGGTGCAGAGAAAGAACAGGGCAAGAACAGATCCAACATCCTCTTGAAACAAAAACTATTTTCAGTATGAGGACTCTTCCCAAACTAAACATGGTTTCAGGAAAGTTAAACTAAAGATACAAACTCAAAACCAACAAATAAAACATTCTCACTGTCACACAAGAATTATCTTGTGACTGCCACACAGTCAGTCTTAATTCAGTTTGCTGCATTTTCTTTTCTGATTTGGCATAAATTTCCTATGGGTCTTTACAAGAAAATAGGTGACTAGATCACTGGTTGCTGAATAGCAATATGTATTTTATCTTATTTTGCCTAGGGAAAAAAGAGTTTATTACAGGTGATGTTCTGCAGCAGCTGATGGGAAATTTATTGGTATAAAACTACAGAAAGTAAAGTAAGAATATCAGATGAGAAAAAAAGTCAGATAATATCTCAAGAACAGTAAAGTTTGCCATAAATCTGACAGAGAGAAGCACACTTTACTGATGGAAAAAACACTCCTGAGAAGTAGCTGTGAAATATTCAATGCAATCCCTTAAGTCAATAAATCTTGCTGTGTTAATAAGACATAAATCCAAAATTTCCAAAATTATTATTGCATTGCTACTGAAAGTTAGAAATGTTGCAAGAAGAAGTGGATTTTCTACTTTGTACAAAGTGATGCCTAACATTAAGATGAATAAAATGTGGTTTATATTGGATTTTTGTTCTATTTCAGAGAAAGTAATTTCTGAAGATTGGTTACATCAATGTAATTACCTGAGTGTGCTACAGGACATAGATGCAGCAGGCACTAGGAATAATGGAAATCAAGGTAAGTCTGAAGAAATAACAGGATTCAGTGTCTAATCTGAATGGGTCATGCAAAATCTTAATTAATCTCCTGAGTTGGTAATACTTAGATCAGAGATAATTGTAGCATCCCTGAATTCCTTTATGCTCAATTCTATGTTAGTATATATTTTGTTTTTAAGATAATACTATGAAAAGTTATAATCCTGAAAATGACAGTACTTACTCCAAGGTCATGACATCATACTGACATAGCTCACTGATAAATAAAGGGAAGAGAAACTGGTCAATTTTCACAGCTAAACTTAATACTGCTTTATTTCACCTTTAAAAAATGCTGCATCATTGCTTACATTAACAGACCAGAAATGTGCTAATTATATTCTATGATTCTAAACTTCCGTTACTTATATAAAATGCTAAACACGAAAGAAAAAGCAACAGAAATGTATAGCAACACACAAAGATAATTCACAGCTACATCATCATAGGTAAGAACATCAAAAAGTTAAAAGTAACACCTCTGCAGCTCAAATCTTGAGCTACTATGCTCACAGTTCCTTACGTCTGTAAAATTGACCTTTCACTAAATTGACCTTTCACTGCCACAGATTTGCTCCTGAAAGCATTCTCTAACCTGTCAATGATTTTTAGTTCAGAGGCTTCATTCAATCTCTTCCTCTGTTTTCAGGGCATCATAAACTGTCTGTAAGAGGCAATCACTTTTTAGGGTGAGCAACCTGAGCAGTCTGGGAGCACCTTAACACAGGTTTCCAATTTCCAAGTCAAGAGTTAGCCACTGACTAAAGCCAACAAACATTTTTCTCCTGTGTTGTTGGGGGTGTGTACTATTTGACACTGCCTTCAGGGAAGGGGGCAGAAAGGATTTGGACTAAACAATTGGCTCATCTCCATTACACACTGATACACAGCCATGGAGGACCCTTGCACTGCCACCGCACTCTGGACTGTGAGATGTTTGTCAAAGACCTCTGGGGGCTTGCACCAGAATATCCACAAGTACAACCTTGATTTCACATCTAGCAACTTACTGTGACAAATTATGCTACTTTCCTAAAGCCTAGGTGCAGGCAGAACCTGCTTTTTGCCCATAAGTCAGAATAAAAAAACCAAACTGCTAAGTAGCTCCATTTTTTACTTTTCTTTTTTTTTCCTTTAATTTTATTGTGTAGATACCTACAAAAGGTAATGCAAAAGTCCTCAGAATCTGGGGTTTTAAGGACTCATATCAATGGTTACGTCAAATAATTTGTATTAAATATGTCAGAATTTTGTTGAAATGTATTACATTTTAATTTTTCTCAACACAATTTTTCTTTTTAATTTCTGGTTTAATCTGTAGTTTAACTCAAATGTACTATTTTATAATTATGTTTCAGTTTCTCACTTCTTGCCCCAAACTAAGTACTTATTATCATCTTAAGTGCCTACTCTTATGTTATTTCTCAGAAAATGCTGAACATTTCATAGTATTTCCCACTGTTTTCCCAGAAATGTATTCAAGTGTAGAAACATCCAAGTTCAGAAATGTAAATATTGCAATATTTACCTTTTACAGTAAACATAACTGTAGTCATGTCTGGATTTTTACTCTTGGTAATGAGCTGACTGAAAAATTACAAATGTTCTTAGTTTCAATATCAGTACTCTTTTGCATGGCTGCAAGGAGTTGCTGAAGCCTCCAAAGTGACATACAAACAATTGTTATGCCAAGGTTGTTCCTTCACTATTTCTCCAACTCCAAAGACTTTTCTCCCTCATGATCAGCCTTCATCTGCTTAATTAGCTCAGTAACTTCCAATAGCAAAGCTTCTGTTTCCTGCTTCAAAGTTAACGTCTTCGCCGTCTTTAAAAATACATTAGAAATATTTTTTTAATGAAAACTTAATCATAGTCTCTTTAGTTGAGCTTCATTCTCAACACAAAGCTGGCCTGCTCACAGTAAGCACAATTGGTTACATTTCTGTCTTTAAAAATAGATTATAATTCTTCCTTATGAGGGCTTAAACACACACTCTGAATTCCAGCTCCTTTCTCAGGATAAAGCTGACTCTTAACATCTATCAAGGCAAGCACAACTGGTTACAAACACAACTTTCATGTTCTGCAGCTCATTTCAAATGCAAAGCACAACAAAAATGTGTTAATATAGATGGTAGAAAATTTTTTTTTTATCTTTGTGTCTTTGCTTGGGTAAGTAATATCCAAATAACAGTACAAGTTCCTAATTATCTCAATTTTGTCAGGAAAAATTATTTAAATTAATTTTTCTACTTAAGCTTCAATTAATTAAATAAAGTCTTTGGCGTTCTAAGAATATTCAGTATAACATCTCAACAGCACTATTTTACTGGTGATACACCAAACAATCATTCCATTCTGTGGCATTTGGTTTGGGGTTTTCTTTGGGATTTTTATTTGGCAAAAGATTCTTAGAGATCATCATCATTGTGCTGATCTACAAAAAAATCGGAATTATACAAGCAAGGGTCCAAGACAATTCTCTTTTGATTCCACAGTCAATAATTCCCTAAATTATTTGGATTAAAATCTGTAAGCACTTAAAAGAAGGAAAAGGACTTAAAATCTGGAGTGAGATTTTAGCCTTACTGTTATCAACAAAAATTTTATCACACAATTTACTGCAGATGGGATTGCCTCAGGCTAGTACTACTTAAAAGGTTGCACACTGGTTTAAAAAAATGCACGCAATCTCTTTAATATTTAAAACTTAATTTAAAAATGCATAGTCTGACTAAAGATGCAAGCAAACTATATGAAACAGAATTCTTTGCTGGGAGTATATTACAAATATCCTTTAACAGCAATGTAGTTATGCTTTTCAACAAAAGAAATGAAATGAAAAAAAATCTAGAGTTCCAATGCCCAACATAACCAGTTTAGTTGGCTCAAATCCAAGAGAGGTTAAAACATGGCATGGATCTAAATAGAGAGATGTAAATTATCTTCTTGCAAATAGGATGACTTAACAGTACTTAATATATCATGTAAATGTATGTGACTTTCAGCTTGACAGATGATACACAAGATTTCAAAGTATACTCACATCATTTACATAAGACATGGAACAGGGAACAAAATTAATCTGCAAGCAAGGATGGGAAAGAAGTAACACAAGAAATCAAGAACACAAGCAAATCATTGCAATGAGCATTTAAAAGGCTCATTAGCCTATTGGAGTTGAAAACCAGGGGAGGAAAGATAATTGCCACCCACTTATGTCCACATGTGAGGCTTAAAGGGCACATAGGAGTCCTTCATATGCAGCTAAGAGAGAACAAAACCTGTGGTCACAGGGTTACATCACACACACACACACACACACACACACACACACACACACACACACACACACACACACACACACACACATCCATATCCATAACTTGAGCACGTATCAATTTGAAAGAACTCTTGGAAGAGCACCACAAAAAAAAAAAAAAACAAAAAAACACCAAACTTTTGCCATGAAGATATGGCAGATAAAAATCCTACACCAAAAACAGACCAAGAGAACTCCTATGGAAGACTTCCTAGCTCAACACAAAATACAGGGAATAGGAAAAAAAAAGACCTGTGCAGTAATGGAAAACAGCAAGATGTTGGACAGGAAAACTGAGTCCTGAAAAGGTATAAAATTAGTTACAGAAACAGCAGTATGCTAAACAAGAATTAAATAAGTAGGCAAACAGAAAATAACTCAGTAGGTATATCTGACACGAAGTAAAAACAGTCAGGTTAATAAAGTGTTTGTTGAGCAAAACAGCAAAGCTTGGTGGATGAGATACAAAGAATAATAGAGGAGCTTGAAGAGGAGAATGTAACTAGAACTACACCATAAGGTACTCTGCATCATGAAAAATTTAAAGTGACAGATTCAGGCTTATTTTATGTTCTTTCTGAGTTTCTGCCTTTGAAATATACCTGTTTTGTATTGTATTACATATCTACTGGACATATGGCTAGAAATAATTTATTATCAAAGGTATAAATAAATTAATATATAAACAATTAAAATCAAGCCCCTCTGTATTTGTAGTGTATTTATATCATTCTATATGCCTAATTCTTATTTTTAAGTGGATTAATGAGACATTCTTACTATAGCAAACCTAACTTTCCTCCTTTTAATTTGTAGTTATAATAAGGCCACCATCCCAAGATTTCAGAATATTTTAAATCTCTGTATATAAAGTAACAACAACTTAAAAGAGATGTAGAAAATGTACAAAAGACTAGCAGAAAGAATTTAAATTAATAAAAGGAACAAACATCTGGACCTGATAATGCTTATCCAATTAATGCATATTGATGAGAAATTATGACAGTGAAATAATTTCGCTGCTCTAACATTAATTTAAATAAAAGTGAATGAGGTAATATAAATTTTCCAGTAAAATTAATGTCTATACTGTAAATCTACATGTAGTTCATGCACCTTGGATTCTTGTATGATCTCTACTGCAGTTGCAGAAATTTCCCTGCAGAGTATTTAACAGCATTTGTGGAATACTAATCTGAGACAGCTTTCCTGATGTGCTGCTATGATGACATTACTGCCAGTATTGCAGATAAATTATTTAAATATAACTTGTCTGTGCAGGCAGCTATCAGATCTTTTTGCTGCAGTATAGACATATGCAAAATTTATTAACATTTGGAAAACACTTTTCCAGTAAAAGTGAATTATTTAAATTACACTAATCATGTTCTCAGAGAGGTTAATGGGAAGACTTTACAACACTGGAAAATTATATATATATATTGGATTGTTTCTTCCTCTACCTACCCATTTTTTAAAGTTTCCTTTATTCTTGTTTCTATTCATTTCTATGAATCCATATAGAAATGGAAAAGATCATGTGCTGTTACAGAAAGAATCACAACATTTTCAATTTTGTCTTTCAACAATAATGAAACCTTTCAATCAAGGAATCCTTAAGTAGTGTTCACGAAAAAACATTGCTTACTATAAATGAGAGAAAATGGCACTCAGCTCCATTTCATGCCCTATTCAAGACAAGTAACAAAAATTATTTTACAGATGATATCACTGAATCAGCTTGACTCTGACTCATTATGCATGAATCTATTAATCTTGATGATATATGGATATTGCATTATGATATTGTGCTATACTGATTGCAATAAAATATTTTCATTTGTCAAAACTGTTAAGTAGATGAAAAACATAATGACTAGTAAATTAAATTCTCAGACACTATTTCAGGGAGTACATATCATATGAAATTAAAATTTTTGTAAAAATCAACATAGTAATCCTAATTAATATATATCTGATCCTATAAGGATAAAAATGTACCCTGAATGTCCCAGTTGGAAGCATATTTCCTGCTTTAATTCTAATTGTTTAATATGTGAATAACTTTGTTAATTCAGGTAACAGAGTATTTATAAAAGCACAGCAATGTTGCCTTGTGGTGATCACTTATTCTTGTCTGGAGAAAGCAAGATAATACAGAAGGCAGGCTGATATCAGATTTTGTCATTCCTGATTTTCTTCCTTTAATTTGCAACTTTACTGACTTTAGTCTTGAAAATGGCTAACCAGAATGTAACAGCTATGTCTATTACTTTGCTCACAATTTGCTCTCTTATTCCTTTTCTAATACAATGTCAACCACAAGGAGGGAGATTAAAAAATTCTTGAAGAATTTGAAGGAACAATTTCAAAGCAATGAGATATGATAAAGAGGGCTAGGGTCAAAATACAATTCACTGTAACTAATTTTACATAATTAATCCCAAATGAATAGAGTCTTGTGATTTTACATTAGTCCTCAGCAAGGATTTTGTCCAAACAGAAAAAAAAATCACAATCCAAAAAGGCAAATGTGGCAGCTACTAGAAAAACACCCAGAGCAAAATCGAAAAGGTCACAAGGACCTAGAGACAAGCTTAGACTACTCTTATGTACACAATACTTAGTTCCAGCAAATGTTTGCTTCCACCTTATGAAGGGGTGAAGTTTCAGAACAGTAACTCCTGTGATGGGAATTCAAAGCAACGTGACATAAATTAACTATTTTATGAGAACAAGCGGATTTCAGAATTATGTTTCCTTTAAACTCTGTTAGCCTTGTAGCTACTTAAATAAATGATGCTGTGTCACACTATTGAATGTTAACTATTGAGTTAATACACAGCACAGGAATTTGATTGCAGAGGTCACTAATGAGAGGTGTCAGGAACCAGAACAAGATACTGAAACCTAGCACTAGAGCTATTAAAAAATCTAAGGAGCTGTCCTACAAACATGAAACATTAACCTAATTAAGTGCAGAGGGATACAATGCTTCAATGTGCCTTGGAGATGGACCAAAAATAACAACAGTAATAGAGATTAAACTGTAAAAGAGAACCAGACAGCCTTCATATGCAGTCTGTAGACTTTTTTTGGTTAGGGTTTTTTTCAAAGAATAATCTCAGTATTTTAATTAATTAAAGTGCCAGCCTAAAACATTAACAGCCTGTATGTTACATAAGGCTCTTTTAACATAACTTTATCATAAACAGATGTACTGGAATGGAGTAAAGGGTTTGCACTATTTTGTTTAAAAAGGCAGCCCACAAAAATGGATAACAAACCCCATTTTCTAGACTCTTGCTCTGCCTGTTTTTAGATGCAGAAACCTTCACAGGATGCCTGCACAGCACAATCCTAACAAAGCCTATTTAGGCTTTGCCCAGCAAAGAAGTTCAGATTTTAAGACCAGCATTCATTTCATTTAGTTGCTTCTACTGTTATGTAATTATATTGATTCTGTTTGCATCACTAGAGCAACTACCAAAATAGCCACTTAAAAAAAAACCCCT